TAGGTTTCAGTACGGTCGTTTGGTCATTAAATAGCCTTTGTCCAAATTCCACAAAATTCCATTAAGGTTTGACAAAGTTATTGATGTCTAAAAAAAACTTTAACCACAGACTAGATGTCGACGTCAACGACGACGGAACATATGATTGCTATGCCTCGATTCCGCGGTATTCGCCGGCTAGACAAGAATCAGAAGTCTAAAAAGACCAGACAAAGCCGTTAGAGGCTAACTTTAACCTATGACATATGAAAGTTGCTCGTCAATAGAACATAATATATTCAAAGTGCAATTACTTAAAAAATAGGATTTTAACATGTGTAAAATCTGGTTTTCTGTGTCGTTTAAATGTTTTTGCACTGTCAACGTATAATTGTTCGTCTTAAGGATGTTCGCTACTATATTTCAAAATAACAAGCTTTTTAAAAGACTGTTATAAATTGATAGTATATAAATGAAGGAACTGAAAAAACAGACAAAAATGAAGGGTCCGTGTGCTTGTTTTCGAGAAATAAGCCATTGAAAATTTGGTGGGAAATGATCCTCTCTAGGTTTTTCATACATTTAACATTGTCACCTTTTTTCTTTCAAAAACAATGAAAAAATAACAAGGATTTTATAAGATTTTCAAATAAGGATTTTTAAACTACATGTAATAAAATTCTGAAAAGAAAAGTAGGGGTTAGCGGGCAAAATTTTGAATGGCACTACATGGATAAAACCAGAGGATTCCGAATATCTGGCAAAAACATCAAAAACAAGAGGAGCAAACATCCTTAATAGAGTGTGACGTTCCTTGGAAATTTTGAAATAAACAATGCTAAACTATTTGTCCCTGTTGGAAAAAACAATGCTATTCTATCTGTTCCTGTTGGAATAAATATTATATTACTCTTAATTCCGTTATGAACATATAAAGTTACATTTCTTTCAGTGAAAATATTATTCAATAATATATAATTCTCGACATCACATCACCATTTTCGGACAATGCAAGATTAAAAACAAATAATAGTTTGCTGTTCTTTGTCTGACCAATGTTTCACCATGTGTTTATCTGTTAGTCGTGATTAAGTCAACGGTTTTCAGTGTGTTTAAAGACTCTTACTGAAGTCGAAACAAGACTAAACAGATTGCAACAGTAGAACATGGAAAAGATGGAATTCGGATATGATGCATTAATTCGTGAATTGAATCCCTCCAAACACCTGAAAAAAACATACGCACAGGAAGACGTTCTTTCTGTACTTCATTTCAAACTTCCAGTAAGGCCTTATAGCGGCAGCAGGTCATACCTTACTCGGGGATTCATTGGTCACAGTGACCCCTTCGTAAAAAGGTCAACACATTCAATAAAATACAAATAGTTTATTTACGTCTCATCATTAATATTACAAAACGTTACATAAAACTTGACTACATGAAATGATATAGAATATTAATATCATTCTAAAAAGAATTATGAGAGACTGGATTACATTACATATATTTATAAATATTCTTCAAAAATATATACTGTTAAGACAAAAAGTTTAACGATATAAAACACAACGTCTTCTATCTAAAATAAGTTTGCAGGTTTTGACACTATTTATAATAATACAATAACAGTCACTGGCTAGAACAATAGACAACTTCTCCAATTTAGAAAAATTTTAAACGTTTGGATGATCTGACATAATTATTTTAAAAGGTTCATTTCGCAGGTCATCGTAGTCTACAATACATGTTCCTCAGTTTCAACGATGTTTTTATAAGTTTCTCAAGTTCGTTACAAGAAACATGGAACTGACATTAGTAAATGTTTAAATGTATAAAGGAGGAGGGAAGTCAATCATTAAGCAGATAAATATATAAGTAAAAATGAATGAATTGATAAAATTGGAGCAATTGTATGATTGTTTTATTGGAGCAAATGAAACCTATAGTTTCCAAAATGAAGTGGCGAAGAAGCAGTTTTGGCGCAAATAAGTTGTGGCGCAGATGATTTCATTTTTGGCGCAAAAAGACATCGACCGAATTGATCACATAGACCCCGTTCACACTAGCATTTTTCTTTAATCGATTTAATTTGAATCGATCTAGATAAAACCAGTTAGCGTTCACATTATCTTTAATCATAACGATCTCTATCGGTCTAATCTGAACTAGTGCGTTCAACTACAATTAAAAATACAATTGATCTGACCTTATTACCCCTAAACATTGTGTATAAATAGAACTTATTTATCAAATTGATGTGTTGATACACTGATACACTCACTTGAAAAAAAATTGGATGAAGTTATTGTTTCTCTTGAATCACAAGTTCAAATTTGGATACTGTGTTCTTGCAGTTTTCTTTGATATTGAAACAAAAAACTGTAGCAACGAAGTTACAACACGACGAAATCTCGTGACTGCGGTTCCTGAAAAGAAAAAATCAACTAAAAAAAGAAGACACAGATTTCGTAAATTTATGCTACGACGAAGACAACATGTTTTCAGTTTGTTTTTACGTGCATGTACACAAAGGTCTGTTAACAGAGAAATATGGGTGTTGTAGAGAGTTGTCTCATTGGCAATCATACCACATCTTCTTTTTTATATAAACAACGAACCATTGATATAGTTGTGCCGCTATATATACATGCGCATACATTATTTTCGATTTAATCGTACGTGTTTAAACCGATCTCTGCGTTCACATTTAAAGTAAGATTGGTTCACTTTAGATCGATTCAAACTAAACTACCTCTTTTGGTGTTTTAGTTTAGACCGATTGAAGATCGATTCAACGCGTTCACATTGGCCCTTAAATCGATCTAAAGTGAACTTATCTAGTTTAAATCGATCTTAATGTCCTAGTGTGAACGGGGTCATACAGACCATCGACAAAAAAGGCCACACCGGTTTATTCACGTTTATCCAACATTTGATAATTAGAATCAAACAACATTAAGGATTAGAGGGTCCTCTTACATGTAAGGACTGACATCTTGATATTTACCTGTAATTCAATTGTATCAAACTAAAATATTGTAAAAAGGGGTATTTTCTAAATATATATATTAAAACATTAACAACACATTTTTTTTAACAATGATTAGGTTTTCTTAGATATAACCAGAAAATGTTACGTAATGTTATGTTGATCACAATGAAGCCCTCGGCAAAATGGTCACACCTCACTAAGAACTTCATTAGTTACAGTGAGGACTTCGGCAAAAAGTCGGACCTGTGACTCGGAAATTCATTAAACTGTTGAAGTGTTATATCAGCAAACTACATATAGTTCTGAGACGGGCAAATAGATCTTACAAAAACGGTTATAATTAGACCAATTTTCTCACTTTAAAATTCAAAAATAAGTTGTGGACTGGACCAGCAACCTTCGAACCTTCTTCTGATACATTATATCAAGGATTCATATAGTTATATCTTAAATCAAACCCTCTTCCGATGTATCCTAATATCTTCAATTGCAGCTTGTCCGTGATATCAAGGAGTTGTATAGTCTAACTATACAAATCCTTGGTGATGTCAATATAATATATAACCACAAATTTATTGTTGTCAACATCGACAAAAATATTTCAAGAATTGATTCATAGAGTATGTGTAATAGCCAATTATTATATTTGTAAATGTAAAAGTCCTCAGATCAGTTATTATTTTCATCACTCAGCCAATGAATTGAAGTTCTATTAAATATCTAAAGATATTTAAACCACAATAATGACAATGTTCTGTGCTGAATGGCAAAAAAGTGGACTATACATTACGATCACACAATGCTGGATGATAAGAAACTATTAATTTTTTGGGTGGAGGGATATCCTGAAAAAAAAATAGATTTATGTAAAAAGCTACTAGTATGTTAAGCCTATTAATAGAGTTTTCATTGATTTCAAATAGGAAAAATTTGTGTTTCAAAAAAGTATTCTAGAATTCATAAATAAACATATATTGATACTTACATTATCTGCTTTGTTGTTTAAAAGTTTAGTTTTGAACAGTTATAGAACAATATAATTGCATTAACATTTCCAAGGAAAAAAAAGATATTCAACTAAAAAGATTCATCTTAAAACAATTTACTACCAAACAGAATTCATTGTAACATACACATTTATTTACTGTATATTTATAATTTGAATCATAGGATTTTATTTTGTCCCATGGGATATTAAAAATCCCATGGGATAATTATAGTCCCATGGGATTTTTATTGTCCCATGGGACAACAAATATCCCATGGGACTACAATTATCCCATGGGACCCAAAAAAATCCTATGGGATTTAACCAAAATCCCATGGGATAATGGTCAATCCCATGGGATTTGCCCTATCCCATGGGATATTGAAAATCACATGTTTTTCTAAATCAAATTACAAAATAGATATAATAATAACAGCAGAAAAGCAATGAATTTATTGAATCCCATGTAATTCCGCACATTTTGGTTATATACACGACACTGTAGATCTATGGAGAGGCGGCGGCGGATTTGCAAATGAGTGTTTTGCAAATTAAAAGTGTCCAGTGTTATAACATAAAGTTTTCTGCTCTTTGGTCGGGTTGTTGTCACATTCCCAGTTTCCATTCTCAATTCTATGCTCACTTAGGTTTGTTTAAAAGTAGACCTTATACATGTAGTTTTGTCATTGTAATATGAATAAATTATTCAACTAAACGAGTGTTTTAGTTAAGAAACTTTAAAATAGTTTACAACAATCAAATTTTAGTGATATTTCAAAAAAGAACCAACAAGGATCGCCTTGAAAGGTACTTAAGAAGTTTATAAAGACGCCCAAGGAGCAACATTATGTTGTCATTTTACTGTCACGAAATGCACACCATGCTTTGTGTGCTAGGATGTAACGCCGCTACATAATATCATATCTATATAGACTACAAAATAACGCAACAATCCTGGAAAAGGTTTTAAGGTACAAAGTAGATACAATAATTATAAGTTAATTTACAATCAAACGTATGGTTGCTTATAGTTGAAGTTGCATGAATGCAGGAAAACAAGGTGAGTCAACAGGTATTTTCTAGCTGTGTATAGAACAGCCTACCGATAATTCATATAGTCAACAGCGTCAGTATTTCTAGCTGTGTATAGAACAGCCTACCGATAATTCATAGTCAACAGCGTCAGTATTTCTAGCTGTGTACAGAACAATATACCGATAATTCATAGTCAACAGGGTCAGTATTTCTAGCTGTGTATAGAACAGCCTACCGATAATTCATATAGTCAACATGGTCAGTATTTCTAGCTGTGTATAGAACAATCTACCAATAATTCACATAGTCAACAGGGTCAGTATTTCTAGCTGTGTATAGAACAATCTACCGATAATTCATAGTCAACAGGGTCAGTATTTCCAGCTGTATATAGACAATATACCGATAATTCATAGTCAACAGGGTCAGTATTTCCATCTGTGTATAGAACAGCCTACCGATAATTCATAGTCAACAAGGTCAGTATTTCTAGCTGTGTATAGAACAGCCTACCGATATTTCATAGTCAACAGGGTCAGTATTTCTAGCTGTGTATAGAACAATCTACCGATACTTCATAGTCAACAGGGTCAGTATTTCTAGCTGTGTATAGAACAATCTACCGATAATTCATAGTCAACAGGGTAAGTATTTATAGCTGTGTATAGAACAATCTACCGATAATTCATAGTCAACAGCGTCAGTATTTCCAGCTGTGTATAGAACAGCCTACCGATAATTCATAGTCAACAGGGTCAGTATTTCTAACTGTGTATAGAACAATCTACCGATAATTCATAGTCAACAGCGTCAGTATTTCCGGCTGTGTATAGAACAGCCTACCGATAATTCATAGTCAACAGGGTCAGTATTTCTAGCTGTGTATAGAACAATCTAACGATAATTCATAGTCAACAGCGTCAGTATTCCCAGCTGTGTATAGAACAATATACCGATAATTCATAGTCAACAGGGTCAGTATTTCTAGCTGTGTATAGAACAATCTACCGATAATTCATAGTCAACAGCGTCAGTATTTCCGGCTGTGTATAGAACAGCCTACCGATAATTCATAGTCAACAGGGTCAGTATTTCTAGCTGTGTATAGAACAATATACCGATAATTCATAGTCAACAGGGTCAGTATTTCCAGCTGTGTATAGAACAATATACCGATAATTCATAGTCAACAGGGTCAGTATTTCCAGCTGTGTATAGAACAATATACCGATAATTCATAGTTCACAGGGTCAGTATTTCCAGCTGTGTATAGAACAATATACTGATAATTCATAGTCAACAGCGTCAGTATTTCCAGCTGTGTATAGAACAATATACCGATAATTCATAGTCAACAGGGTCAGTATTTCCAGCTGTGTATAGAACAATATACCGATAATTCATAGTCAACAGGGTCAGTATTTCCAGCTGTGTATAGAACAATATACCGGTAATTCATAATTTGTAAATAAAAAGAAGGAAATGTGGTTTGGTTGCTAATGAGACAACTACATCTAAACTGTAGCGTGCAGCATGTCTAGGAACGTGCCGTAATAAGTGAATATGAAATAAAACATGTACGATTTCATTAACTTTTTTATATGATAAACTTACATCATTGATACAATTCAGTGATTATTAGTTAATAGTGTTTTTCAAGTATAACATTCATTTCCTTTCTTTCAGTAAATTAAGTGATACTCGATGTGTAACAGTCATTGCATGGGGTATGTACATTAAATACGATATTGAACACGGGGAAATGTATGGTAAATATAATTGAGAAAACACAAGTTTAAATAAGTCAATATGGTGCTAACTATGAACCGAGCTCGTAATAACACAGAGTTTGATTTAAAAACTACTTTTAAATTTGAATCTGCATATCAACAAGAATGCAGAGTTATCAGATTTGATCTTTTCGCTGTTTTCAATTAACACCTATTCCTGTTTGAAAAAAATAATACAAAAATCCTGCTACATAAAACCGCTTCAGATGAATCGCTGTTCTCCAACGATAAAAACTGACCACCACGATATAGCCAATAATGCTGAAAGTGGCGTTTAACACCAACAATCAATCAATTAAGTAATAAAATGAATCGTGTGTTGTTGGGAAACATGGCACGATCGTAGAGTTCCAGCACAGTACTACTTGATACTATATGATAAACATATCAATGTTCAAGTTAATTAACCATCAGTGTATTTATCATGTTTGTTACTACTTAAGTTGGCATTTTTCTTAGAAACTTAAAGCTTTCAGATGCAAGGTTGAAAGTTTCGAATGTTGGTTTGAATTTTATTTTGATATATAGAGCTGCTGTCCTTTCACTCAATAACTACTTCTTCCGTGAGTATTTACATCTCATATTTGAACCATTTTCGCGTGTCTTATAATGAGAGATAAACTACTACTCCAGTGGGAACATTATGAAAGGATGACTGAATTACCACTTTGAAAGTGTTTTAATTTACAGCTCGACTGAATCACGGAGAGCAGCTGATGATTATTCCGTGGGTGAACCTAGTCTCCAGAAGAAGACTTACATGATTATTGCTGGATGTCAATAACATAATTTTAAAATGACAGATTTAGTATTGATGTTTTGTTTTTCAGATGTGGACCCTTGTGACAGCAGTCCCTGTCTCAATCACGCTACATGTATATGAGGTGGATACACATCTGATTACACATGTAGTTGTGTACAAGGATACAGTGGTATTCAATGTCAAACAAGTGAGCAAAAACATACAATCGACTTACTCATCTATGGCCAAACCTAAACTGCATTGCCATTTTCTGTTTAAAATATTTTGACCAAAAGTCTGTTTTTTTTACTCATGGTATATCAAACAGTTCTAATAATAAATAATTATTATTAAATTATTCATTTTCATTTTACACTCTTCTGAAAAATGTCAGTAGTAAATTGCTGCTATTTTGCTTTCTATGACAGTTATGTACTCCATTTTCTTTACTATTGTATGGTGATTCATGAATTTTTGATTGCTTGTTATAACCGTTATTTATTGTTTTAGACATAGATGAATGTGCATCAAAACCGTGTCAACATGAAAGTACATGTGTTGATCATACCAATGACTACTCGTGTGTTTGCACAGCTGGGTACAGTGGTATACAATGTCAAACAGGTACAATAGTTCATCATACTTAAAGGTGCATTCGCTGTCAATTTCATGTTCACCGATTTGACTCAAATTCTCATATTTGGTTTATAACATACTAAAGGGTATATCCAAATTACAAAAAGTCTAAAATAAACAATTAACAAGGCATGGACTCAGTTATATGTATCAGCAATGTGTGTGTATGTTAGTCTACACGCCATCTAATTAACCATCGAGATGACCTCCGGAGACTGCCGACGGTCGTATAACCCCATATAAACATAAATATAAATATAAATAGATAGAGAGCACGTGCAATTGGATTTTTCTAGGTATGTTTGATTTCCTGTTATAGATTTAAAAATAATATGTTAATCATCGTGTTTACTTGTATAAAGAGAGAGAGCTAAAAATTCATCACATGCAATTGGAGACAGAAGACAATTGTAACTCTATGTATCAACTAATCTAATGATGAATGCAGATTAACATGTGAATTGATATGTTTTAAAATTACATAAGATGTTACTTGAATATTGTAATTTGTGAAAACTTACATAACGTATCAGTTTCATCACGTACACGCCTGTACACGAACCTAGTAAACTCATCGTTAAAGCCACACATGGACTGCTTATGAAAATACAAACAATCGTAGCGTAACTACCCGACTGTCAACAATGCAGAATAAGTGTTAATCTATTAATGACAGGGATAAGTATACATTTGTAAAACCATTTAAAATATTTGAACGTATTGTTAAAAAAGTCTTTTAATATAAGCCTAAAATTGTTTATTTTAGATATAAATGAATGTATGAGCAACCCTTGCCAATATGACAGTTTATGCACAGACCTTGGAAATGCGTATAATTGTACCTGTCTGCCTGGTTTCACTGCTTCAAACTGTCAGATAGGTATGTTTATCTGCATAAAAGTTGGTTCGGATTAAAAGGGAACATCCCGGAAAAGCCATTTAAATTCTCTCTTTCTTTGAATAATAGTTCCCAAAAGTATTTTATTTTAAAAACTTTGAAACTTGACTTTAATTTTTACCTGCCGAAACTGCTTATTTCACTGATATCTTGCAATGATTACACCGATTACTAGGCAAATGTTGCCATCCTGAAAAATTTCGCTCTTTATGAACTACTCTCTTTTGATATTTCAGACACAAATGAGTGTGCATCAGACCCTTGTCAACATGGCGGAGATTGTATAAATCTAATTGATGCTTACCTTTGTCATTGTCCATTGGGCTACATAGGAGTTAACTGTCAAAAAGGTACTATCATTGTAATATTTGTTTCAACTTTAAATATATACCTAAATGGAAAGAGTATATCTATGGATTAATTAAGTGATTGAAGAACATGATGTGGTAAGATTGCCAATGAGACAACTATCCACCAGAGTTCAAATGAACTGGATGTAAACAATTATAGTTGCTTGTTAATTCCCTTTAGCAAATAGTCCATGCATATTCAGAACGAAAACTAATTAACAATTAATTCAACAGATGATATTAGGATTATGGCATATATCGAAACTTGTCAGAATTGTTTATTCAATCATCCTTCTGTATCTTGCAGTGTCTGTTACTCTAGCTGATCTGATAGTATTGATATATTCGGAAAAAAAATATCTTAGATATAGTTGTATACGACCTGGTTAAAAAAAATAAGACTCACTACACACAGACACAAACAATGCAGAATATTAACTTTATCTTAAAACGCAAATAGTAACCTCTAAAACGACGTCTGAAATGTAATTATATGTTGTCTTAGGTTAATGATGTACCTATTTCAGACATAGATGAATGTATCAGCCAACCTTGTCAAAATGGTGCTACGTGTATAAATCTTGTAAGTGGCTTTACGTGTAGTTGTGTAGATGGATACACTGGTACAAATTGTGAAACAGGTAAGATACATATAGTGTGCCCTTATTCAATATGTGTCAAAAAAGGACGAAAAGATACAAATGAAATTATAAAAAAAATGAGATAATACTAAGTGGTCAATGAAAAAAAAACACAATGAGTTGAGGTAAAAACAGACACCATGATAAAGAAAAACAGACACCATGATAAAGAAAATCAGACGCCATGATAAAGAAAAACACACACCATGATAAAGAAAAACAGACGCCATGATAAAGAAAAACACACACCATGATAAAGAAAATCACACAACATGATAAAGAAAAACACACAACATGATAAAGAAAAACACACACCATGATAAAGAAAATCACACGCCATGATAAAGAAAAACACACACCATGATAAAGAAAAACAGACGCCATGATAAAGAAAACCAGACAACGAATTATATTTTGAAAGTATAAATCGGCTATTAATTAGAGGAACAAAGTTATGTCGCATGTCTAATCGTCTCTAATAAGTTCAGCATTATCCGAAATGATGAATCAAAAAAAAATTCCTAGAAATATTTAAATATTCTTAATAGTACTAAGTCTACATTGTATGAACTAAAAATAAGATAACTGCACATTTTAAAAATAACATGCAAGTTTTGCTAAAGATGTCGAAAACATCGGTGTTCTTAATCACCTATAATAATAATATGATACATTTCATTCCCTTACTACTTGAACAAATAATTACATTAGTTATTTTTAATCTGTAAAGGGATGGATCATTGTTCTTCTGGTCCTTGTTTAAACGATGGCGTCTGTTTAAATCGTGATGGTGGATATATATGCACGTGTCCACAGTCGTGGTATGGTGACATATGCGAATACCGTGAGATCAATCAAACAGAGGTATTGTTCAATTTTTTTTATTACATTGATTTCGAAAAATTATATAAAAATAAGGAGATGTGGTACGATTGCAAATGAGACAAGGTGACAACTATTCGCCAGAAAAAGGAATAGGCTGTAAGCAACTTATATGTCTTCTTTAAAAAACATTTCTACAAAGGTTTTACCATTTTATATCTGATACATATATATATATATATATATAATATATATATATATGAACCCCTGATTTAGTCATTCATATAATATTTCCGTTGAAAACTGAAATAGCAAAGCAAACTCGTAAATATCGGGTTAAACATACAAAATTAGATATATGTCCTGATGGGTATAAATTTTTGTTTGAAGTTTTCCATTAGAATGTCGAAAATCAAAATAGAAAGGCAGTACTTGTACAGTATAACATACCATTTACTAAGAGTCAGTTCAGGTGGAATATAAATTGCATCCGCATATTTAGAAAAATATATAATATGTCACCTTCAAAAATTAAATGATAGAAACAGTTGGTGATTGTGATAAACCTATCTTGGAATCTACACTATCAAACTTTTCTACTTGTATGTAAATCATCTAATTCACAAATAATTACGAATCTCGGAGTCAACTTCAAATTTGAGATACATTTTTTTTCCCAATCTGAACTGTTAATTGTGAATTTTTATATATATAAAAAGTTAAAATGATGAAGCCTCTTAAAGTTTTTTACATTGCATAAGATGAAGTTTTTACCATTTTCAAGAATGTTCCATGAAGTAAAAAGTATCATTTTAAAAACATAATAATAACATTTTTCTTATGTTCTTCAATCAACTGATTCAAAATCTGTAGACCACTGTTTTTAAATTGACCGAGCAATCATTTTCTTTTGTTTTGATCTCCCTAAATTTGTTTACTAATATAACAATATGGGGAGAATTATTTACCCTTGATAAAAGTTTCCCCCATGATTTTCTATGTACATTTTGACAAATTCTAAATATACAAATTTTGAACCGTTTACAAAACATTAAGTCCCATGACCTGCAATAGTTAAAATTTTATTTAAGTCCGTACAGTTTTCTTTTAATTTATAGATGTACAACTTTTCAAACTGTTGGTTTTCAAACTGTTGGTTTGAGGTTTTTTTGCTTCAGATAAAACCAAATTGTGCAGTTTGGTATTGTTTTACCGGAACCCGCAACCCCCAAATTATCATAATTTATAACACAATGGAAATTGTATCAAATTCATATAAAAAAAAAAACAATCCATTTTTCTCAAAATCTAAAGTCGTTTAAATGTTTATTTAAGGTATGTTGCGACCTGGATTACACAGAATGTTCTTGTCATGTTAGTAAGTTCACGTTCATTGAGCGAAAATCTCACAGAATTCAGTTTGGTCTCGTTGGATATTTGATTGGACTTCTTGGAACTATATTTTTCTACATAATTTGGAATTTGTGTAGAAAAATACACGATAAAAATAATAAAGTAAATACCAGATTTTACCAAAGGAAGAACAATATAATAACTTTGTCAGACTTAGAGGCAGAAGAATCACGTGAGACTAGCAATAAATTTGTAAATAGCAAATCCGAAACTGACGATATTGGAGGATGTGATTGTTTTATTGATCATACGGGTTATGACCATTTTCAGAGATTTGACAAAAGATTGAAATACAAATACAGATTTCACAACTGTCGCAATAAGAAAGGATTTAAAAAGGAAAACCCTACGATCAGTAAAACAAGAACACGTTGAAATATGCAGATACAATGATTTTGTGAATGAAATGACTATTAACATTATAAAAATCATAATTTTATGTGTAGGATTTTGACTGAGCACGAATGTCACCTTGGAAAATCATAAAAGCGTGCGTTCATCCTTACATGAATTCATAGTTTTTAGATTTTGTCCAATAGCGATTTACGTGTGACATTAACTCTGTTCCCATCCAAATGAACCAATTTGAAAGCGTTTGTAATCATTGAGCACCATTAACTCTGTCTCTTCTGGATATCAGTTCTTATCGAGTTATTGTGACGTCATTAATTTAGTGTGATACTGATATCAGTGCCGTCTTTGCAGTTGTATGTTGGACCTGGCTTGATATGGTATATTTACTACCGGTTATTTCACATGGACAAAATAGACTTTAATATAAATAAGGAGATTTGGTATGTTTACCTATGCCTATTATCCTGCAGTGTATAACAACACTTTAGTAAATGACAGCCTACACTAAAAAAATGTATTGAGTGTATTTGATTTGCGTAAATGCATACTATCATTGGTTAATATAAATGTACTTAAGAATGTATCTTTATTCGTTTCAAAGTTAACGAAAATATTATAAAGTAAATTAATTATTAATATATTTCATTTCTAAGTTGTTCTATTTATTTCTATGATTGTATGTGATTGTATTTTGTATATATTTACCTCTTGTTTCACATGTTAATGTGAAGGAGTGTTTTTAAATAAAGCATATTGTATTGTATTGATAAAGCAACTTTCTTTAAGTACTATCAACGTGATTTAATTAAAAGGTATATTATTAAAATCTCTTATAATGAAAGTCTTTATGGTGATGGTGGGTTGTAGTGTCGGTCATATAAAACATAATATCAAAAATGTGAGGCCTTTTCATCAAATGACATAGCAAGTGTTAAGCCAAATTTGCCCTGTCAGAGCTTGATGTATAAGTAAAATGCAAGAATCTTGATCGGAGCTACTACTCTTACATGTACATAAATCTTTTATTTGGTGTACATAAGCAACAAACATCACTAATTATACATGATGACACGCTTTGATATAAATAGTGGCGATCAAGCTCACAATAAATCACTATGGAAATGTGAAAACATGTCCATATGGAGAGTCTAGGTGGAGAGGCATGTCTTCTTGAGGACTGTCGTCTTGTCGGCTACATGATATATGGCATAATAATAACACATTCTTGTCTCTGGTACACAATAGGGTCAAAGGGTAGCCATTATCAATCGATTTTTTTATTGAGAAGACCCGTTAATATAATAGGAAAATAAAAGAGTAAATAAGAAGTAGATGATTACAAACGAACTAATCTAAAACAAATAAACAAACACAAACATTAAATTCAAAACAATAATAAACTTGACAAACCAAAAGTAACCAGGTGACTGTATGGAAAAAAACAAACAAAAAGAACACTTGAAACGCTTGGGCGAGAAAATACCCCATCAATACTTGAAACGCTTGGGCGAGAAAATACCCCATCAATACTTGAAATGCTTGGGCGAGAAAATACCCCATCAATACTTGAAACGCTTGGGCGAGAAAATACCCCATCAACACTTGAAACGCTTGGGCGAGAAAATACCCCATCAACACTTGAAACGCTTGGGCGAGAAAATACCCCATCAACACTTGAAACGCTTGGGCGAGAAAATACCCCATCAATACTTGAAACGCTTGGGCGAGAAAATACCCCATCAACACTTGAAACACTTGGGCGAAAAAATAACCCATCAACACTTGAAACGCTTGGGCGAGAAAATACCCCATCAATACTTGGAGTGATATCTAATATACCGAAAGGGCAATCATATCTTGCTTCGTTCGTGACATCTGTTGTATTCCAAGATGTTATAGCCGGTGATGCGTCAACTTTGTAAAGGTCAAAAACGGCAAAACTACTTTGGACATTTATGAATCATTGCATTAGTAACTATTGCAACGAATTCATGATGACGACAGCATCTCCATTGACGGTTAACATAATCGCCTTTCAATGATGTAACTGCTAGCTATTGAGGGATGTAGCCGGTATGATAAATATCTATGCACTAAAGGGGATGTAGGGTGTTTCACGTGGTATAGCCGCCAATGTACAATTAGATACCGGACGTTGCTGCGTATCGAAGAGAGGCTGATAAACACACAGGGTTTGAACATAGTATTCGTATTTCGATGTTTATCAGTAATTTTTCTATTTAAAATAGTTAAAAAGAATGATAAACGCATTGTAGTGTGTCAGTTATAGATGTTTAAAGACTGACATCCGAATTTTACACCTCTTTCATGACATTAATTCATGAAAAGGAAATATTATATCCCCAGTCTGGGTGTGTGGGCTATCATGCAATCACTATGTCCGTCTTCTCTTTGTGTGAATATTTTTCATCTTATTACTTCCCTAAAGTACTACTGAACGGAATGACTAAATATTTAATCAGAAGCTTGACAGTGAAAAGTTGTAACGTTTGGGACCTTTTCGACACCTTCTTCTTCTTTGCAAATATTTAAATTTCTTCAATGTGTTGAATATTTTTGCAACACATTTTTCAATACGACTGAACAAAATGACTTCACATCTAATCTGCAGCTTTACAATGATTACTTGTACAGTGTAAACGCCTTCCAGATCTGTCTGACACATACTTCTTATTTTCCTTTAAGTTACGAGTTGGTTTGCTTAGTACTACAATGCGTGAAATTTTCTTGTTTCGTAATTTTCTATTAGATTACACAGTTACAACATCTTATTATTCCAACTAGATAAGTTTTCGATATGAATAAAACGAGATGTGGAGTATACGCCAATGAGACAGCAACCAAACAACACCAAAAAACAAACGACGCTTAAAGGGCAAAATACAGCCTTCCAAAATAAACAGGTTTTCAAACAATATGTCAAGCTCTAAATTGTCTGCAGTCTAGATAAATAGCGAATTTTAAGTAACTATCAAATATCTGCTGTTTTCACTGAACTCCCCAAAATGATCCAGAAACCCACATTTAAATATAATAAAAGACGGACATTAATTTATGAGGTTCCGAACTTGGAACAGGCAAATGAATATTACGGCCATTTTGATCCGAAATCGCACCTTCTCTTTGTTTCTGAATTCAGGCCTTTCAGTCATGAAAGTTTACTGAGAGTGTGCAAAATTTGCGGTCGTAAACTTTTGGAGTATGATCATCCTACTTAGACTCAGAATTCAATCAATGAAAATACTGGATTTAGTGTTTCGAGCACAAACGTTGTAAGTACTGATTAAATTTTTGTGACTGTACACCAAGGTCTTCCGAAATAATATGTCCAGCTTATTTTTCAACATATCGTGGTGGACTACAAACATTTATAGATAGAATTATATCGTTTTGTAGCAACTTACAAAGGTATCCGGAATTCTCATCTCTGAGCTACCAGTTTTTCTTTTGGTTTCTTTATATATTCTCATATACGCTTCACCTTTACCGATGTAGTCACTGGCGTGTCACTCAATATATTTGTTTACGGACTCATTGCATGCACGTGTTCGTTTTTCCTTCAAGGTAACACTTAAGTTATACTTAAATTCGAAATAATACGTTGTTTGAAGGGGAAAAAAAGAAAAACTCCTACATCTCAAAAATATAAAGAAAAGATTCAAATGGTTGACCAGGGTATTGAAATATGACCCCCTGGAATGCTTACCCTTTCTGTCAGTTTAACCAGTGCTTAAGAAGAGCGTTCATATCATATGACTGTGTGATATATGTATAAATACGCAGCCATGTTCATTGGGAATGATGAAGTTGAATCCGATTCCTCGTGTTGGGAGCTCTAGAGGGTCATACTCTCTGAACCTGAACATAAAAGAACATATGTAACAGAGAGGCGAAACCTACTAAAGGGACATTCAAACTCATAAGTCGAAAATAAACTGACAACGCCATGACAAAAAAAAGAAAAAAGACCAAAGGACAAACAACAGTATACAAAACATAACATAGAAAACTATAAACTGAGCAACACGTAACCCACCAAAAACCGGGGGTGATCTCAGATGCTCCGAAAGGGTAAGCAGATCCTGCTCCACGTATGACACTCGTCGTGTTGCTCAAACCATGTTATAAGTGTAATTTGGTAGGTCACACTCGGGGAAAGGAGGGCGGGATTGTGGTAATGACGATTGGAACATATCCGTCGTCATCTGTGAAACAGATATTCTGTAACGGTCAACCAACTCGTGATGGCGTCCGTAAAATTTTCGAAGCGATGATTTCAACTTTGCCACTTGGAATTCTTGGTTTAATAGCTTCCTAGCTTGTGAACAGAAATCCTCTATCAATGAAATCATGATAGAAAACGCAAGTGTTGGAATATCGTATCAATTGGGAGATACATACTCTATATGCAGGCGCTGCTGGAATGTTGCTACATAGAAAGTTCACAATTGGGAAGCTGAAATGATCCCTTTTGTCGTAAAGTTTTGTTCTCAATCGACCCTCATTGTCGATTTCTAGATGTAAGTCAAGTTATGAATCATACCTGCGTATCTGTTGTATCCTTTATTTCAAGTTCGATGGGATAGATGCGTTCAACATAGACACAAAACTGTGAATTATTTAGTGAGAGGACATCATCTATATAGCGGGAAGTGAAGTTAAAGGATAATGCTAGCTTCTTTTCATTTTTCCTAAGAAGTTCCAGTATGAAGTCAGCCTCATATTAATAAAGGAACAAGTCGGGAAGAATAAGATCACAGTTGTTTCCCATGTAAATGCCGATTGATTGTTGAAAAACACGTCCTCCAATCGTAACATATATGTTGTGAATCAAGAAATCAAGCATCTTGATAATGTCAGTTTCAGAGAATTTTTTGTTTGAATCGGCATAGTGATTTTTTCTACAAAGTACGATTTATCCCTCCCTAAGACAAGATAATTGTATCTACGTTGGCCCTTCTGTTTTATGAAACAAAGCAGGACCAACTCTCTCAATTTGTGTTTTTAGTTTGGAATGGGGAATACTTGTGTAAAGTTTGGAAAAGTCAATTGTTGTTATACTAAATTGCAAGATGAAAGAGTCTTAGATTGTGTGTACTCTAACAGATCTTTGGCTTTGATTGCTTATAAAATCGATGTCAATAATTTAGAAAGAGGATTCGTGGAGCACTTAGAAGACCCGCAATATAAGGTTTTTTGTAAGGACAGTGACGGTAAAGATCAAAGAGAAAAAACAAAAGATCAAAGGAAAATGCCGCCAGATATTCACGAAAATGCGTGAGCCGACACTCATGCAATTTAAGTATCCAAAACAGTAAAGGAAGATCCAGTTCTTCATCTTTGGTTGAAATTCCAAAGTAACAAAGAACAAACCTATGATTATCCAGGATTTCTTTCTTGGTAAGTTTCGTGGGGGTATATGTTGAGTTTCCAAGTGAATTGTCAATACCAAATTCATTTATCAAGCAGTTTATGTAATTTGATTTACAGTTATTTGGGGCTTTATCTGCGGGAACAATAACATATTTGTCACGGAGGTAGGACATGTGCTTTGCAACATTTTTTGGTCTCTAAAGATTGATGTAGCATATTGTTTCATAAGGAAAAAAGCCCTCTTTTTCATGTTGCAGTCCAAATTTACAATCAAAAGATCTTGATCCCAGCCCGATCACTTTAAAGCGTCTTTCTATTAGATTATGAAGGAAATTTATGCCAGTGTTTTAACAAACAACAATCAATTGAATAATTGATAGAGCATACTTTTACTGTATATAAAAAAAAACCAAATAGAAATTAATGGATTCAGATCAATAAGAATCAAAGGTTTATTGTTTTGTTCATATATACATTTTTATAACAATATCATCAATATTTTGGTTACAACAATTTTATCAGTTGTGCTTTTCCTTTGATCACATTTCGTCACATAAAGGAGTCATCATTTAGGACGTTTTGTCATAACAAGAAGTCACACGAACCGACACGCATGTAAGTGAATAAACTTATTTTCATTAATGCGTAATGTTATTTTAGGTAGATTTTTTAATCATTTAAATGTTTACCGTCTGCTTAACTTATATAGATACATAAAATAAAAATATTTCAAATTAACTGGTGCATGCATTCTAAAGAACATCATTTTGACCTATTTCTTTTGACCCAATTTAATTTGAACTGGTATAATTGACATTTTTGTGAAAGTGATTGTGTTTGTATTTTTCTTGTTCCGGTTGTGTTGGTCTGTATCTTTATTTATTTTTTCTTTTGTGAAGAACGTGCATTGGATTTGCTGTTGCTGCTCGTGGAATATTCGCCTGCTTAGTTGACTGAACATTGCATGCATATATAACATATTAAGATAAGAAGATGTGGTATGATTATAAAGGGAGAACTGTTTACCATCGACTAAATGACGTAGTTGTAAGTAACTATAGGTCACCGAATGGCCTTCGACAATGAGCAAAACCCATCATATAGTATAGTAAGCTATAACAGGGTTGACAACATGTAAAACAATTCATACTCGAAAAAAATGGCCTGATTTTATGTTCAAAACAATAAACGAAAAATTAATATGATACATAACAAGCAACGACAACCACAGAAATACAGGTGTATGACTTGGGACAGGCAGATAGATTATGTTTCTGGGTTAAACATATTTGCCAGTGCTCAACCATCCCTCTAATTTTTGTAATTGCATAAGTTTGCTTGTACATCATTATTAGTTCAACCACGCCATATATTCAGGTGCCTGTCGCAAGTTGGGAACATCATACTTTCGTTAGTAGTTGTCTGTTGTCATATTTCAATTTGTTTGATATGTGGTGAATTTGGTGTTGATGGCAGGTCATGGATTGGTAGTTTAATAATGTATTTAGAATTTGTTATAGCCCACTTCTTCTTTTTATAATGTTAACAACATTATTGATGCATGTGATAATTGAAAATCTCGGTAGACGCATGCATGTGATAATTTAAAGATCTCGGCAGACACATGCATGTGATAATTTAAAGATCTCGGTAGACACATGCATGTGATAATTAAAATATCTCGGTAGACGCATGCATGTGATAATTTAAAGATCTCGGTAGACACATGCATGTGATAATTGGAAGATCTCGGTAGACACATGCATGTGATAATTTAAAAATCTTGGTAGACACATGCATGTGATAATTGGAAGATCTCGGTAGACACATGCATGTGATAATTTAAAGATCTCGGTAGACACATGCATGTGATAATTTAAAGATCTCGGTAGACACATGCATGTGATAATTGGAAGATCTCGGTAGACACATGCATGTGATAATTTAAAGATCTCGGTAGACACATCCATGTGATAATTGGAAGATCTCGGTAGACACATGCATGTGATAATTTAAAGATCTTGGTAGACACATGCATGTGATAATTGGAAGATCTCGGTAGACACATGCATGTGATAATCTAAAGATCTCGGTAGACACATGCATGTGATAATTGGAAGATCTCGGTAGACACATGCATGTGATAATCTAAAGATCTCGGTAGACACATGCATGTGATAATTGGAAGATCTCGGTAGACACATGCATGTGATAATTGGAAGATCTCGGTAGACACATGCATGTGATAATTTAAAGATCTCGGTAAACACATGCATGTGATAATTGGAAGATATCGGTAGACACATGCATGTGATAATTTAAAGATATCGGTAGACACATGCATGTGATAATTTAAAGATCTCGGTAGACACATGCATGTGATAATTGGAAGATCTCGGTAGACACATGCATGTGATAATTTAAAGATCTCGGTAAACACATGCATGTGATAATTGGAAGATCTCGGTAGACACATGCATGTGATAATTTAAAGATCTCGGTAAACACATGCATGTGATAATTGGAAGATATCGGTAGACACATGCATATGATAATTGGAAGATCTCGGTAGACACATGCATGTGATAATTCGAATATATCGGTAGACACATGCATATGATAATTGGAAGATATCGGTAGACACATGCATGTGATAATTGGAAGATCTCGGTAGACATATGCATATGATAATTGGAAGATCTCAGTAGACACATGCATGTGATTATTGGAAGATATCGGTAGACACATGCTCATGATAATTGGAAGATCTCGGTAGACACATGCATATGATAATTGGAAGATCTCGGTAGACACGGGTTTTGAAATCAAATAGTATAACTTGTAGCACTGTCATGAACCATCTCTTAGTACAAACTAAATTAACCAGTTTCAGGCAAATGTAATAAAGCACCGACCAATCATCGTTTGTGGGAAAGGGAATTTGATTTATTTATAATTTCTTGAAAATAGAAAAAAAACGTCTCAGAAAACATTGTTTGCTTCTATAGAAAACAAGAAAGAAAGAAAAAAAAACATTCATTGACTTTTTTAAAAATTTTGTTCCTGTATATTGATAATATAAATAAATCCTTGTTTTTAATAAAGTTGAAAAACAAATGTTTGTCCCGAGAGAAAAAAAATTGCGCCTCCACAAAAAACGATGAATGGTCAGTGCCTAACTGATGACAAAACAGACACATTCACTAAATTACGTGATTCACTGTGTATTTAAACCTGTACCTGTTGAAAGTACTATACATTAGTATTAATGTTAATAATACCTGTAACGAATCATAAAGGCTTAGCGTATATTGTATTTTCCGTAAAAAACGATGAAATTTTTTTTAAACATGCTTATACTACATGTCGAATATAAAAGATTGTAAGTGAATAAACATCTGAACGAACAGGACGATATGATTATCCAAGTAAGATATCGAATGTATTAACAGATATCAGGTCAAACACGTAGTTCCAAGTCTAACCTGACGACAAAATGATAACGGTTAGTCACGTCGTCCTAAGTCTAACCTGACGACAATATGCTAACGGTTAGTCACGTCGTCCTAAGTCTAACCAGACGACAAAATGCTAACGGTTAGTCAAGTCGTTCTAAGTCTAACCTAACGACAAAATGATAACGGTTAGTCACGTCGTCCTAAGTCTAACCTGACGACAATATGCTAACGGTTAGTCTCCTCGTCCTAAGTCTAACCAGACGACAAAATGCTAACGGTTAGTCACGTCGTCCTAAGTCTAACCTGACGACAATATGCTAACGGTTAGTCACGTCGTCCTAAGTCTAACCAGACGACAAAATGCTAACAGTTAGTCAAGTCGTGCTAAGTCTAACCTAACGACAAAATGATAACAGTTAGTCAAGTCGTGCTAAGTCTAACCTAACGACAAAATGATAACGGTTAGTCACGTCGTCCTAAGTCTAACCTGACGACAATATGCTAACGGTTAGTCACGTCGTCCTAAGTCTAACCAGACGACAAAATGCTAACGGTTAGTCAAGTCGTCCTAAGTCTAACCTAACGACAAAATGATAACGGTTAGTCACGTCGTTCTAAGTCTAACCTGACGACAATATGCTAACGGTTAGTCACGTCGTCCTAAGTCTAAACAGACGACAAAATGCTAACAGTTAGTCAAGTCGTGCTAAGTCTAACCTAACGACAAAATGATAACGGTTAGTCACGTCGTCCTAAGTCTAACATAACGACAAAATGATAACGGTTAGTCACGTCGTCCTAAGTCTAACATAACGACAAAATGATAATGGTTAGTAATGTAGTCCTCAGTTTAGTGTGACGACAAAATACTAACGGTTAGTCATGACATGCATGTTTACCAGTTTCTCTACATAAATGTAATACAAGGATTAATAATGCTGTAGGAACAGCTGGCCCTTCCGGAGCACATGAGTTCATCCACAATTATTTGGTGGGGTTCGTTATGCTCAATCTTTATTTTCTGCGTATTGTTCTGTTTTTTTGTTATTTTTCCTTTTTGACCGTGGTGTTGTCTGTTTTGATTTGATGATTTTTTATCGCCCCCTTGGTATCTTCTTTCATTAGTTATAGTGTAGACATAATCTCCATCAAATGTTTAATATCTCTAACATAGTGAACACATGTAAATTATTATCCTGCAATCGACCTTTCTACTATACAAATGCAGTTGTACAGATAACACGAAGCTCGGGTGACACTACTTGTCCAGAACGAGGTTGTGAGCGAACGGTTATATTCATGTAAGTGAATAAACTTATTTTCATTAATGCGTAATTTTATTTTAGGTAGGTTTTTTAATCATTTAAATGTTTACCGTCTGCTTAACTTATATAGATACATAAAATAAAAATATTTCAAATTAACTGGTGCATGCATTCTAAAGAACATCATTGACCTATTTCTTTTGACCCAATTTAATTTGAACTGGTATAATTGACATTTTTGTGAAAGTGATTGTGTTTGTATTTGTCTTGTTCCGGTTGTGTTGGTCTGTATCTTTATTTATTTTTTCTTTTGTGAAGAACGTGCATTGGATTTGCTGTTGCTGCTCGTGGAATATTCGCCTGCTTAGTTGACTGAACATTGCATGCATATATAACATATTAAGATAAGAAGATGTGGTATGATTATAAAGGGAGAACTGTTTACCATCGACTAAATGACGTAGTTGTAAGTAACTATAGGTCACCGAATGGCCTTCGACAATGAGCAAAACCCATCATATAGTATAGTAAGCTATAACAGGGTTGACAACATGTAAAACAATTCATACTCGAAAAAAATGGCCTGATTTTATGTTCAAAACGATAAACAAAAAATTAATATGATACATAACAAGCAACGACAACCACAGAAATACAGGTGTATGACTTGGGACAGGCAGATAGATTATGTTTCTGGGTTAAACATATTTGCCAGTGCTCAACCATCCCTCTAATTTTTGTAATTGCATAAGTTTGCTTGTACATCAATATTAGTTCAACCACGCCATATATTCAGGTGCCTGTCGCAAGTTGGGAACATCATACTTTCGTTAGTAGTTGTCTGTTGTCATATTTCAATTTGTTTGATATGTGGTGAATTTGGTGTTGATGG